GACGATTCCACGGTCCATCGCCTTCCACTGTAGGGAATTCGAGATGCGATGGCCATGCGCCCGTGGCCCTCGGAAAATGCGATGCTCCTGGGCGCTCCGATGAAGACACATATCGACGCTCATGCCAAGTCGACTGTTCCGAGTCTCGACTGGTTCCACGACCTGATCCATAGTAATGCCATCTAGGTGGCGGTCCTTCCGGCTCTCTCGGGATCAGCTTTGGGGGCGTTGGAATGCGACCAAATGACGGTGACCTTCTCCGCGATAAACTCCTGCTCCTTCCACGCCGGTACTCTCTGCTGTCATCACGCTTCCTCCCGCGGTAGTACTCCCGGCTGTCTGACCGCGTCCTCCGGCGACGATCCCTCGAACGTGATCGCCTCCTCTCACGCTCACGATCCTGCATGTGCTTCACTAGCTTGCTGCGTCAACAACTCAACAGTCTGTAGCAAGGCCTGCGTCGCAGCATCAGGCTGGCTCATTGCCACGGATTCACCTCTTGGTTCTGCCTGCCTGGAGGTCTCGGCCTTGTCACGACGACGGAGTTCAGCATCTTCATTGTATCGACTCTCATCTTCCTCGTGTGTTGGTGCCTCAGACGCCGGTGCTTTTGGTGTTGCTGCAGCGAGGGGTGGATCCGGTGACACTGGCCTCACGGATCCTGGTCCTCTGTGAGACATAGTATGTGTCCCCTTTGGCATGGGAGCTGATGCTTTTGCCGGGCTTGCCTTCACTACTGCAGGGCGAATGAGTGGTGGTTTCTTTGGGCACGGCGGTGGTGGTAACACGCGGGCATCAACGGGGGCTTGAGTCCTCCTCTCACTCTCTCGGGCCTCAGCTTCAGAGTCAAACACGACCTGACCAACATGGCTGTATGTCGGTGCTGCCTTCAGGCCGAACTGCTTCAAGACATAGTCCCTCGACCTCAAGGCTGCTTCCAAAGCATCATGCGACTCATGGGTGCACATGGCACATTTGCCCTTGCATGTGCCGCTCATCTGGCTCCATGAATTTTCCTGGTTGGAGTGTGTCAAGGTCAGGTGAGCTCTCGGGCATAGCTTGCTGAATGCCGTCGCAAGCAACCAACCAAAAGATACAGATCTGTGTCTGTTTCGCCTGCAATAGGCTATGACTGCCAGCTGTTGCCTCTTTTCATGGCATTCCTTCAGACGGTGAAGCCCATATAGCAATGCTTCCATCGTCTTCTCACTGCCAGTCATCCCTCGAATGATCTCAGGATGGGTGCCAACATGGGATCGCAATTGCGGGTCGCGCTGAGGATCTCCAAATCCCATGCAGTCGAATACTAGCAGTCGTCTCCCGGGATCAAACTGTGCCAGAATAGGCCGCAATGTAGTCAGATTCTTGCAACGGTCGAAGTTCGCAATTTGGCCATGGAACTCTTTTCCACACGTCAAGATACGCACGCAAGCGGGATCATCCAGCGTGAGAGTGGCTCTGGTTGGGCGCTCTTCGTCAGCCATGAATGCTGTCAGTTGATCTGATGGACGAATGTTGAAGCTCATGCCATAATCCGTGTTCTTAAGTTCTCGAAGTTGCTTTGGGAGTCTCTTGGACTTTAGGCTCTTGAGACCTTCTGAGAGGTTCACGCATAGGAGTCCTGAATTCCTAGCTCTGCACAGTTCAAGTTCTGCATTTCCTACATAACACTTGGCATCACCCATTGACTTTGTGAAATGCAATGCAGCTTGAGCATGCTGTGACAAAAGCAAGGGAATCTTCCCATCGACAACATGCGTTTCCATGACTCCCGGAAGTTTCGTCTCGGGGTCCAAAAAGGTCAATGCGAACGGAATTCGACACTTGCCCAAAGTTTTGGTGTCACCGGCGAGTCCTCGAAAAGCTTTTGAGTCACACTGCAAATCAGCTACATCATACCCAAGACGTGCATACTTGTCTTTGGCGTTTTGGATCCACGCTTGTCCACAAACAGTTGCATTACATCCTTCGTCCAACACAGCCCAGACTCCAGGGTCTTCCATGATGTCAACAAGACGAAGTGTGTTTTCAATTGTGGCTTCATTGAGATCCGACAAAAGTCCCATGTAGCAAGTTTCCGGAGCGGCCTCTCTGATGACTTCCACGGCATTGGCAAGGATCTCAAACAGGACGCCAACCCTCACAGGTTCTCCGAATTCTAACTCACACTCAACCTCCTGTCGAAACATCTCCAAGACCTCTAGGGTTCCTTCAGCTGACATGCATGCATCGTTGATTTCATTCTCAATCATGGATGCTGTCGTGTCGAATGCATTGCTACGCATGCCTACCACACTCTTTGCCATCGCCTCTCTCTTGCGCGCCTCTTCTCGGGGCATCTCGTCGACAGTGGTCCCGCGCAACTTGCAGTACCAACGGGATGTGGTCTTCGAACTACCCCGACGATCCGTAACCTCATGTTTACACTTTGCGGGATCGGCGACAGGTTTGCTCTCTTTCTTCTTTCTCTCATTCTTTCCGCAGTCAAGGCATGTCTTGTTCTCAACATATGCATTTGAACCTTGAAATGTAAATCTGGTGCAACGACGACATGGTTCCTCTAGCGGGGGGTATGGTGGTTTCCCTCTGGCACTCTTGTCTCCAGCACGTCGAATTACCTCCACCGGCACGTCTGTCAAGGGATGTTCTCTCAGGTTCACCTCCCTTCCTGACTGACTTCGTAGTACGTGGTCACCCAGGTCAGAAAATCTGCCAAGCAGCGCGAAGGGTGCGAAATGCCTGATCCCCACTGGTAGTATCCAGGGTATTTGAACAACACCTCATGGTATGTCAAACCTTGGTGCTGACCAAACACGAAAACATTCTGTGAACCTTCAGGCAGCAAGTCTTGCTCCATGTCCTTCTTCCTACCCATGACCGGCGGGGACTTCTGCGGTGACCGACGGACATTTGGCTCGACCATCGAAAAGCTAGACGGTGGACTGCTAGTCACGCCTGACGACATGGATGCACGATCTGACGGTTCAAACTCCAGCTTCTTCTTTGGGGACATCTTGTATGCCATATAGCACGTGCCACCTTCGGCAGTTTGGCCACTGACATCGACACACATGTATTCATCTTCAACAGAAGACTCATCATCACTCAATGCGAAGTAGGCTGTGGCTTTGCTCGTTGACGACGTTCCTCCGGGGGACTTGTCGTTCTGCTTGGGGAACTTGCAAGCAGGGTCTCCTGCCCAATGTCCTTTTCCTCCACAACGCAAGCATTTGGACACTGACTTCAACTTTGCTAGACGTGCAATCCTGTCTTGCACGCTCAACTGTGTCCTGAACACATACTTGCCTTTTCCTTTGCTCTTTCCACCTTTCTTTCCTGAACCTTTGCCTTTGCCTTTGCTCTTGCCTTTCAACTGGTCAGTCACGACAAAGGCCATCATCTGGTGCTGGGCTGCGCTGCCCAGTTCTTCTGAGACATCGTTTTCTTCATCATCGCATTCTCCCGTTGCCATCAACGCTGTGGCAACTTCAGGGTCCTCGACATAGTCTTCATGTTCTTCGTCTTCTGGTTCTTCATCTTCTGCTGCGACATAAGCTTCATGCTCATAGTCGTCCTCTGCTTCTGGCTCATAGGATTCTTCGTAATCCCATGAGTCATCTTCAACAATGTACGCAGATCTTTGCCAACTGCGTCCTTTTCCTCCTTTGTAGGAAGACTTGCTTGAGAACTTGCCTCCGCCTTTCTGCCTCCGAGGGCTTGCATTGCCAAAAGCGGACCAGCTGCGTAAGTGAATTTGTCCATGGAATTCAAGCAAGAACTTGGCGTAAACGTCAAAGGATTGGTTGTCGCCTGCAGCTGTCTTGATCATGAGCTGTTCTGTCTTGCTCAAGCCAGAGCCTTCCAGAAGTAGCTCACCACGCATGGGGTCTGAAAGACTTACCCCATCATCCATCTCCAAAAGCTTCCTCCACCAACGACGTCTTCGTGAAATATAGCTAGTCATGCTTTCTGTCGATTGGCGAGACAAGGGACCATGTGGGAGTTGACCCACTCTGAACAACTCTCGTGCTTCTTGCTGTCGAAGTGGAAAAACCTGTGCACGAATACGCGAAATCAAATCATCGATGCCAGTTGGAGTCAACAACTTCTCCAATCCCATCTCTTGTGCTGCAAGGTATGCATCACCTCGCAGGCCTTCCAACACCTTGTGAACAAGTGTCGCATACTCTGCTCCATCATCATCCAGTCCGGCAGTGCTCAGAGCTGGTTCTTCTTCGTCCACCACGCTCTCGGACTTCGGGGTTCCAAAAGCTTCAAATCGTACTTCTTCATCCTCTGATACATCCCCAGCCTCGGTCGCATGAGTCGGCCTCCTCTGAGAACGTTCTGGTGTGGCTGATTGGCTTCCATGACTCGAATAGGTCTTCTCTGATTTCTTCTTCGCATGTTTTTGCTTGTACAAAGCAACGCGGACCTTGGTGCGAAACTCCCATTCGAAGAAACCATTTGGATTGCCACTGTAGATGTATGATCCGCTCTTCGTCTCCTGTGGTCCTGAGATACTTCCTCCATGGGATGTGTACCGCAGGCCAGCCAGCGACATCGCAACTCAACAAGTTTCGCAAAGCACTGGAATTACAACGGTTCGACGGATTGCGCGCAGGGTCACGCAATTGGGTTCAACGGTTGGATCCAGCGAGTCTCCCCGGGTGAGTCAGATCCTGAGGGTGCCCCTTCAGAACCTGCTCCGCTACCAGTTTGAATCTCGCACGGTTCCTTTTCACAGCAGCGAATCAGCTCAAGGGCCCTTATTTAGCCGAGACAGCAGCGGCGGTGCATCAACTGTACGCAATACACCCTGGCTACAATCGGTAAAATTCACACTAGTAGTAACAAGAAGCTATTAGAATTAAATTAAGATTAAACTAAATAAACGTGTATATATATATATATCGGTAAGATGTACATACTCTAACCCTGTCTCACTCTCTCAACAGTTCGGAGTTTCCCAAAGACACAGAAGGCTTTCCAGAGGGAGCCTCCATGTCCGCACAATCCCGTTCAGCCTCGGCCGCCACCGAGTGCACCAGGTTTGCACGTTCTCTGTCAGCGCATTGGAGGCAGCGTTTAAATTAACATATCCCATCCAAGATGTATCCTTGGCAATAAATGCTTTTATATGTATATAGTATAATACAATACATAGTATCACATAATATGTTTTTATCAGAGGCGTGACTGAGGCCAGTGCAATGTCCCTATCCCGTTCTGCACGAGCAACTTTCCGCTCAAGAAGCACACGCTTCTCCTACCATGCATAGTTTCAGTAACTGCAACAAGCCAAGATTGAGGTCCTCCAAGCTGTCAGCCTTTTCCTGCAGGGCAGGACAAACAGACTCATTAAAAAACTATTCACATTCACATTCCAAATATCCAGCATGAATTGACCGGAAGCAAAGGCAGGCTCTCCTGAAGGTCGGCAACAAGCGGCTCGCTCTCGCGAAGTTGAGCTTGAAGTGATTCTACAATCTCACGAACCTTGTTTCGATCAGAGCTTGAAGTTGAGCCCAAATGTTCAATTGATCCCACTTGAAAGTTAGCTTAGCCATGATGAGCCTGTCCAAAGACCAAATGCTTGGCTTCCTCAAGCGCATAATCAGAAGCACCTTAGCAAACAAGCTGCCACACCCAGCACCCAAGAGCAAGCAACAGGTGCCTTGGAGCTTTTCAAGCTGGTTAAGCTTCTCTGGTCCTTAGGCACAAGATGCCTGGAAAATGCAAGCGCAAAAAGCATGATTAAAGTTCAAGCTGGGCCACCCAGAATTCGAGCAAGGGAGAGGTGGAGCCCAGCATCTGAACCTCTAGAGCGCAAGAATGGATATGTTCAAAAGAGAGACAACATGTAATATGAGGAATCAGGAACAAATAGATCGGTCTACATTGCTACTGAACTGTAAGAAGTCAGAAGAATCAAGTCTTCAGAAATCCACAAAAATGTACGTAACTTCGATTAAAACTACGATCGCCGCTCATTTTAGGGAGAGCTGCACAACTTCAGTGTGTGATACAAGTCTGCTCTCGTACCCTTTGTTCCGACCTGGATTTTGTGCTTGCAAACTTTGCATCCAGCAAACTGCGGGCCCTCAGAGACGCTCAGACACACACTCAACAGCAGGCTAGATTTCTGGTTCCTGGGCACAAATGTTATTCTATGTATGGTCACATAAACTGTGTCCCATGACATACGGCAAAGTAGCTTTCAACTCTTGAGGTCCTGTGAAATTTTCGGCTGACAACATTAGTAAGCATGCGACGAAGCCCCCATGCTCAACGCCGCAACTTCATATTTAAAAAAAAAAATATATATATATATATATTATATATATATATATTGATAGTTCCAGGCTGAGTAGTACTGTAATTATTGAATCTGGAAAGATGGCCAATGAATGGCTGGATTCATTTGGTGTCATCAAAAAGAGAATGCCACGTCGTTCAACTGGCTTGGGCCAAGTTGGGCTACAGGTCTCGCATAATTAAAATTAAACATTGAAGAAACAACCAAATCACACTGTCCATCAAACAGCTTGCAGGCCTGAGTCTTACCTTTGCTATTGAACTCCGCTTGAAAGGGAAACAACTGCAAACTGTTCAAATGCTGTTCGGGGCAGCTGAGTCAGGACATTCTGGTGTGGATTCTAAGCGAAGAACACAAGGCGATAAAAAATAGAATGCACCTCTTTCTCGCTCTCTCACACGCACAAAAAAAATAATGCCAAAAGTGACAGAAATGCACAAAGCCTGGCAGACATGGCTTGGGGTGGCAGGGACAGAGTAGGTGTGAACGGCGCAAAAGCCCAGGACCAGCATCGACAAAGAGCAACCGAGCGAACGAGCAAGCAAGCAAACTCCTAGCAAGCTATGCTATGCATAGCATGCTACAAGCCTTCTGCTATGCTACAAAGGTTTTGTCTCACGCGTTCGTGCTATGAAATTTTCCAGAGCCCGGGATAGTGAGGGCTCCCTGCTGTGCTCTACCCGCCGACACATGTCCACAAAATGGAACAAGCTTCCAGTGTCTGCAAGATGCTGCTTGTATTCAAACAGCGTGCCCATGATTAATAAAGGCAAGCAAACCTGCAGCAACCAAGAAAAAAAACCATCAGCCCCCATTCAGAGAAGAAGCAGTTTGAAGGCATAACAGCTAGCACATTCAGCCGGAGCGCCGTCACGACAGCGAAATCAGAAATGCGAGCAAAGTTTGACGGGCCAATTGAAAGGCCACGTAGCAACACAAATCACTTTCAGAAGGCTCCTGCCGAGGCGACGAAAGTGAACTGACAAACCATTACAGACATCAAGAGAGACAGGTGGAATTGGAGTGGAATGCAGTTTTTACCATATGCTTTGGGAGGCAAAGAAGAGGCCAGTAGACTAAGACAATCTCGCAACCAGATCTGGAGGGCAAGAATAAGAAAACAATAACTAGGGCAATCTCGGAACCTGACATATGGAGGTATTGGTAGTATTGCCTTGTCATTTGGGTCATTTGGTAGTGCATGATGCTAGTCATAGTGGCATCAGAACTTCAGAAGCTGATGTTGAAGCAACGTTGAACCTTGTCAGGCTTGTGATTCGTGTTGGTGTTGAGAATGGTTTGGAGGGCCTGCGCTGGGTGACTTTAAATCCGTTGCACTTGGTCACTTGGCAGTCTCAACCGTTCGAGGTTCTGGAGCTCACGCTGAAGACGAGTCGATGTGCAACATAATCTACAGCAGCTGTAATACGTACAAAAAATAGACACACGTGCCACAGTACCCCCACAGTGCGAGAAGCATTGCAGCTCGAAGCAGCAGGAATAGCAGAATAGCATTTAGAAAGGTCAAACCAACATCTTGTGATCACATCTCAATGATCTCAACTGTTGTGAACCCCAAAGAGCGAGAACAAGCCTACGTGGGCGCCAGTGAGACACAAATGCCCAACTGGGGCACACAAAGAAGCTGGCGAAGCGCCAGCGGTCATTTTGACATAGTATTAGAGGAAAAATAGCTGCAAAAACCTGCTGCACAGGCGAGGCAACAAGGGGAACAAAGCGAGACAAATGCAAAACAGGGGAAAACATGTGTCCTATGCATTTACTGTATGCACTGTATGTGACACGTAGTTTGGAGAGGGTGCAAAACATTGAAAAAAAAAAGCAAACAAGACGTGAATCGCAACGCAAACACACGACAATAACTGAGGGATATCCACATCAGAAAGAAACTCCAGGTCCAAAGTTCAAAGGTCTCTTTTTGCGGGCAAACTCAAACAGGCGCATCCATGGCAGCATATAACCTTAGAACTTCGACCTCAGCTTGCAGGACATTTGATTGTTTCGGGGCTTGTCTGGCTGGGCTCCATGCACACGTGAGGAACCGTTCCATCTCTTTGGGGTCCTGCCAAAAACCAAAAATTCTCTACCAAAACTGCATTGCCTGACATTGATTCGCTGGAGTATTCAGAGACCACTTGTTCTGGAGTTCTGCCAACAACTCTTCTGCATCGTTCTCTTTACCAAGGACCCACAACCTACCCCTAACTTTCTCAGTTTGGGAAGCCACCCAAAAGAAGAACAAGATGGAGCCCACGGACCCGAATGTTTGAGGCAAGCTCGTTCCTTATGGCCTAATCGGCACGTCTGTTTAGTACACGATTGGTTTCAGTAGTTTACTCTCGCAGAAGCTGCAACAGTCAGCTGAAAAGAAAAAGTTCAGACACTCGAACCAAGAAACTAACTGGTCATTTTGAGGACTGAGCCCTGTCAGGGTCGTGAGTAAACCAACATTCGCAGGCCCAAAAAAAAGACACGACGGTAGCTTTGACACTCAGATGCACAAGTGATACATCACTCCCCACTTAGCGGCCACGACAGCTTTGAGGCTTGTTTCAGCTACTGGGTAGCATGCCTGCATAGCCAAGCATTTGATTCCATCCAGGTGACACTCTTCTGGGACAATCTTGCAAAATACGCTTGTGCGACACTTTTGTTTGACACTCTTGCAAGACACTTTTCTAGAAGGACACTCTTGTGCCAAATACGTGTGGCACTAGTGTGCGGACAACTCTTGTGGGGTTCACTCTCGTCTTGCAGGACATTTTGTGGGATTCTGGTGGGGCACTCTGTTTGTGCAACACCCGGGGGGACACTTTGCGGGGCACGCTTGTAGGTCAATTTTGTGGGCCATTCTTGTGAGACACTCTTGTAGGACACTATTGATTGTCCGGGACACTCTTATAGGACATTCTTGTGGCCACTCTTGTCGAACGCACTCTCTGACAAAAGTGACCTGTTAACTCTTCAAAACGAGCATTTCGAAGGAGAATTTCTCCAAAAGTCACGTGTCAAGTCTTCAAAGCAAGTTCAAAATGAGTCTTCCTACGAGACTTCCTCCAAAACTGACTTGACGAGAAGCCTGCCTCTGACCCAGCTCCCTCGTCACAAAAACGTAGCTTCAAGGAAAGTGCTTCAAGAGCAAGTCCCAATGGCAGAGCGGTACAAAGTGCTGCCCTTGCGAAGCATTGCACCTGCGCAGCAAAATCATCCTTCGCACTTGGGCATAGGTGGCATAGGTATCTGACACTTCATGCATACTTCCATCCAAGATCTCCAAAAGCCTGGGCCCTATCGGTTGCAGACGGTCCGGGCGGTTTGACATGAAAGCAACGTCACGCGAACACCGCTCTACCAGAGTTCAGAGTTAAACGAGAAAGAAAAAAACAGAAAGAGTTGACAAACATCTACGTGTTTTTATCTTCTTTTTGGGGGGGTAGGCCGAGGTAGCTACTAGCTGCAAATGGACGCTACTACCGACAGCACGCAGGAGAGCTCGCACTAATGATTTGGTTCCTAGATTTTTAGGGAAACTTAACTAGTAGCGATGGCCTCCAACCTAATAGCGATGACATTCGTATGTATAGTTTTTCAACATCACTCCACAAGTTGTCACTCCAAACAAGCGATACACATATATATATATATAGTTGTGCTGGCAGTTCATTTACACGCGCAGTCGCTCAACAAAGCTTGAAGCGTAACACGGCCATTCATTTCTACGCACACAACATTCCGCCCACTTCATCATCCAGCCCCACCGCGCTGACCACGACGCAAGGGCATCACGGTCGAATCAAGCTCTTGGTCGTTTCTTACATCTTTCACAGGCCACAGGATTCAACACTTGGCGCTCCTCAAAACCCTCCTTTTCAGGGTTGCTTCCACCTCCCTGCCCTCCTCTGGTCTCTATACTCCCTCGCTGCTGCCTCTTGCTCAACCGATTGGCCTCAACCCATCTCCTCCTCGTGCATTTTTTGTTGGCTTCACAGCACCTGCCTTTAGGAAACTGCCTGCCCAAGAGCTATTTCGCGGCAAGGCTCTCCCACCTTCAAAATATCGCAACACCCAAAGTCTGATATCATTGCACTCAGGCTTTCCTCTTCAAAGCCTTCTTCATGTCAATTCACACCCCTCTACATGAATTATTCTGAAATCCCCTTTTTAATGTTGACTCTTGATTTATAAACTCCCCCCCCCC